TATGACATCCTTTTCCGGAGACTGCTCTCTTCTGATAATATGATAACATGTCCAAAGTTCCTGAGATGAGATCTCGCCAGCCTTGCCAGCCTTGCTTCTAAGGGGAATTCTGGCTGTCCTTCTTCCGAGATTGATTTGTTCATTTGGCAGTCCATGGTACTTTCAATGGTCTTCAAAAGTACCATCAGTATGTTAAGCAATGGAGAGAAGGTTGATGTTATCAAGGATTTCATTTTACTTCAATCTACAATCAGTGCCCATGGAAGCGGTAATCAAAAAGCAAAATGATGCAAAAGACCTCTTTAAGGTGTTAAAAAGCAAAGACGTCACCTGGAGAACCAAGACGTGCCTGTCTGAACAAGGGTACTTCCAATCACATGTGCATGCCAGAGCTGACCGATGAATAAGGTAAACCGAAGAAGAAATGAGGATGCCGCGCATTGTGCTGCTGAGAAAGAATGTGTCATCTACCATGAACTACAAGGAGAACAAATGAATCTGTCTTGGAAGAAGCGCAGTCTGAACACTCCATAGAAACAAGTATGGGAAGACGTCATCTCATGTACTTTGGACATGTAATCAGAAGGGACCAGTCCTTGTAGAACGACATCATACTGGATAAAGAGAAGGTCAATTAAAAAGAGGAAGGCCCTTTGTGAGATGGATTCACACAGTGACTTCAACAATGGGCATACAATGGTTGCGAGGATGGTTTAGGAATGGGCCGGGTTCTGTTCTGTTGTACACAGGGTCGCCATGAGTCAGAACCAACTTGATGGGGCTTCACCACCACCACCACTTGTAGCCTGATTCAATGATTGGATGGCATTGATTACCATATAGCTGATGTCAACTTTACCATCTATACAAACGTAATTCAAAATATTTGTTTGAAAATTCCTTTACCTTTTATTCCACTTTTCAAGGAACTGTTTGAAGCCCCCTGTATCTCCAATACAGATCTTCCACGTAGCTGCTAGCCTGGTATAGCTCACTGCCTTCTCAGCATCCCTCTCCTCAACTTCCTACGAGGTATGCCGCACACGATTTGATAAAAATAAAATCACCAAACATATTATTCCATGCACACACCAAACCTACTGTTCTTGTAGTCGTCTCTATTTCAGTGAATGACAACCCTATTTTTCCAGATGCTCAGCCCAAACGAGCTAGGTTTACCCTCCAGTCTCCAGTCTCTCGTGCATGTCACTCACTTCAATCCAAGCCCTGGTTACTCTGCAAACGGAACTCCGAGTCTGGCAATTACTGTCTCCATTTCCACATGTTGTTGTTGTGTTGCGCTGCTGAGTTGGCTCCAGCTCATAGTGACCCTGTGAACAACAGAGCTAAACACTGCCCCGCCCTGTGCCATCCTCACGACTGTTCTTATTC